AATCCTGTGATTAAGAAAGAAAAGAGGGGCCAGGTATGGTGGCTCACGCCTGTAATCCCAGCACTTTGGGAGGCGAAAGCGGGCAGATCACAAGGTCTGGAGTTCAAGACCATCCTGGCCAACATGGTGAAACCCCATCTCTACTAAAAATACAAAAAATGAGCCGGGCATGGTGGCACGTGCCTGTAGTCCCAGCTACTTGGGAGGCTAAGGCAGGAGAATCACTTGAACCCGGGAGGCGGAGGTTGCAGTGAGCCCAGATCGCGCCACTGCACTCCAGCCTGGGCTTCATAGCCAGGCTCCATCCCAAAAAAAAAAAAAAAAAAAAGAAAGGAAAGAGGAAAGACATGATCTTCGGTATGAAGGGTTTTGTTTCTGAAGCTCCCCCTGCCATTTCTACTTTTTCCATGAAAAACTCTGTCCTTTTGTCTTCTGCCACTGGCTGTGGTTATGCACTGGGCATTGATGTGAATCCAGTTTCCAAATTGGAAAGTAATGAGGTGTTCCATCCAGAGAGGCCTGCCTTCCATACTGTGAGCTTGGCTGTTCTGAGGACCCCCTCTATTTGGATCTTTGCTTTCTTGCTGCCTTTCTCTGTGTCAGGCGACAACAGGCTCCTTTCTTTTCTGCTTGGCTTCTGCAGAGGATGGTTTCAGGCCTTCTTTCTCTGGCCTAATCATTTTTCAGTACATGTCAGGTATGACTCCCAGAAGCGCTGGATTGTGTTAAGGCAGAGTAGATTCAGCTGCCAGAGGTCCCTGTCCCTGAGCAGGAAGTTCCTGATGGCTCTTCAAGCTTCTACCTCAGCCCTTCGTGTATTTAAAGAGAAGGTTGGGATGGATTTTCAGGGTTGCAGGCATTAAGGAAGAGGACTGAAGTGAAGCAAAAGAGCTATGGGAAAGTGATCATCAGCACTGCAGTCTCCAATTTGGTAGTGTTCCTATGTGCTGTTAGGAAGGGATATCTGTCTTGACTGATAAGGAAACAAAGTAGAGGTGCCCATTAAGGAAAAAAAAGGGAGCTCAAATGAACTGATAGCCAGTGCCACCGTGGGCAGTGAGCAGGCTTTGGTAAAGAGTGACAAGCTGCTGCTTTGGGCAAGTCTCAGGTAATCAATTTTAGGAATACCTCAAGATTCCAAGGGGCTCCTCGTCAGGGCCAGCAATCAGAGGGGTGAGAGGGAGCTACAGAGATGTGCTTAGAGCCAGGAGACACGGGCATGCAGGGTACAGGGGTGTCTGGGAACCTCATGGAACTTGCTGCTAAGTTTTATGCATAAATATTTCAGGGAAGAGGGCCTGGAGCATTCACTAAGTTTTTTTCTGTTTGTTTTGTTTTTTTGAGACAGAGTCTCACTCTGTTGCCCAAGCTGGAGTGCAGTGGCACAATCTCCGCTCACTGCAACCAACACCTCCCAGACTCAAGCAATTATCGTGCCTCACCTTTCTGAGTAGTTGGGATTACAGGCGTGCACCAAACCATGCCTGGCTAATTTTTTTTTTTTCTTTGTGGAGACGGGGTTTCATTGTGTTGGCCAGGCTGGTCTCAAACTCCTGACATCAAGCAGTCCACCTGCCTTGACTTAAAGTGCTGGGATTACAGGCATGAGCCACCATGCTTGACCAAAATTCACTAGATTTTGAAAGCAGTTCTTGACCCATGGTTTATGTGAAAACAGATGCCCGATCAGGGTGCAGTCGTTGCCCTATGCTGGAGTATTCACTTGGGAAAAAGACCACAGACCCTGGGAGGCTGCAGACCCTGTGACCTGAATCCTGGATGCTGGAGGGAACCTCCAGACCACTTGTAAAATGTGAAAGAGAACGGTGGAATAGAATTGAAACTGACATTTCCTGAACATGCTGAAGGCAGACTGTACAGCACGATGTAGACGCACAGAAGGAGTGACTGGGTTTGGAACGAAATGTAGAAAAGGAAGCAAGCTAAGTCACCAGGGGAAACCCTTGAGACCACAAGAATGAAGAGGTCATGGCCCTGTCATTCCAGAGGAGGCTGGAGCAGCTCTTCAGGAAATGTGGATGTGCGAGGAGGACAAGCCTGGCTGAGCCTAAAAGGGGCTCTTCAGACTCTTGTGGAGACCTGCACGTGGCCCTCCCCACTGGGACTGTCAGGTGGTACCTGGAATTGACTCTACAGTTGCTTTTGCCCACAGCACACACATGCTTCCTGAGAGTCAAATTCAGACCTGCTTGCCACAGTGGAAGACTTGTGAGATTATTTGAATCCCTTATGTCTTTGGATAGTGGTAGTTCTTGGAATAATATGGAAAGAATAGTTTCAGGATTGTTTTTAAAGAAAAGTTAAAGTCAGTGATTACAGATTCAAGATTCTTATAAGACTTTGCTCTGGACAAAAATGTGAGTGGTTGCCACCATTCTCTTCCTCTACCCCATGGCTGCCATTTTTCGAGAGTATTGATGCTTCCTTTAAGGGAGGGTGAGGGTACCAAAGTGGTCTCTCCAGCCTTCCAGGGCAGAAGCTGTATTCCCTGGAGGCTTTGTAGTGTGAACAACTCCTGGGCAGGGCTCAGGCCTTCCCCATGGGGAATGCCTACAGACTCTTCAGTTGGCTTTTTTGGAAAGTATTATCTCAGAGGTTGTGAACAGAAGGATTGGCTGCTAAAGAGCAAGGCAAGGGGGATGTCTGCAAGCTCAGGTTAAAAGGTAAAAGGTTCTACTCTTGACTAGCACTCCCTCCCTTTTCCACGCATTTATCTCAGAGCTTTTCCATTCTCCTCAGGCCCTCGAACTCCACCTAGCCTCCTTTGTTCTTTGCCTCATGCTCGACTACATAGATTGGGGTTCTGTGATGGTCATGCTCTCCACTTCCCTCTTCTTCCCCTTAAGGTCTCCTCCCCTTTCCTTCCTTCCTTCCTCCCCACCAGGCCACGCTTCCTCTGTCCGGAATGGATAGCCTCCACTTGGCCCAAAATCCCTTTTGTTCTCTTGTGTCTTCAATCTTCCTTCAATGCTGACTTCTCTTCTTTACCCTACAACCGCCACACAGCCCTCTGTTCTGCTCATTCCAAAGCGCTCCTTCCCTCCCGTCCTTTTGGAAGTGTTCATCCACACTGGTTGCATTGCCTCCACTTCCAATGCCTCCACCTATCCTTAACCCGGTGCTTCCCAGGCTTTTTCACATGTCACACACAGAAGATGTAGCTGTTTGAGTGGCATAGGGGATGTGTGCAGGAGGCTGATGGGAGGCCGAAGCTCTGGCTGCCCTGGGAGTGAGAAGAGCTAAAGCCCTCCTCACAGCATCTCCGGAATCCATTTGCAGTACATGCCTTAAACCTTTGCAGTGTGACTCTGCCTCTGTCCTATATTTTCCTAAAACAGCCTTCCTAAATACCACCAACCAGCAAATGCTCAATGCCAGGAGCTTGTCTTTGTTTTCTCCTCCTTGACATCCAAGTGGCATTGGACATACACTTGTGGTTTAGAGAGAGTCTAGGGCTGGACTGCTTGGGTTCAGTTCCCAGTTTTGCCAGTCTCTAGCAGTGTAACCTTGGGCAAATTCCTTAATTTCTCTATGCCTTGGTTTCCTCAGCTGAAGAAGAGGATAGCATAATTCCTACCTCATCGTGTTGTTATGAGAATTAAATAGTTGCCATATGGAGAGTGTGAACAATGCCTGTCTAATAGCAATGGCTCTCTGAGTGTCCCGTGTTGCCTTTGAGTCCCCTTTCTTAAAGCTCTTTTCTCCTGCTTTTCCTAACGGGGGACATTCCTGGGTTTTGTCCTGTCTCTCTCAGCTCCCTTGTTTTCCTACTGTTTTCATTCCCTGGCTTCTCTTCTCTCCTTAACATGAAGGAGGTGTTAGGCCAAGCAGCCCCGCCTCTCCCGACCGCCCTTTCTTCCATAGATCCTTCCACCTCCAGACGGGCCAGGCCCACATCCGAATGCCTGCCAGATCCCCTCGCCTACATCTCTCTCTCAACCTCAGACCCAGGAGTCCCCAAAATGTTTTAATGCCCTTTTTTAAAAAGTAATACATATTTGTTATACAAAATACAGAGAAGTAAAAATAATAAAGTGCACCTCAGTAGTAATCCCACCGTTCAGCTGGCACCACCACTAAACTTGGATATATCTCCTTCAAGCCCAGGGGTTCTCAGCCTGGGCCAGCTTTCCCCCAGAAGACATTTGGCCATGTCTGGAGACATTTTTGATTATCAACTTGGTGTAGGGAGAGGTGCTCCTGACATCCAATGGATAGAGGCCAGGGATACTGCTGAACATTTTATAATACACAGTTCAGCCCCCTGCCATACAAGGAATTAGTCAGCCCAACAGTGCCGAGATTGAGAAGCATGTTCTAGACTTCTGTCTCAACATATGTGCCCCAAATGGAACAGTCAGAATGGGTTTTCTCTTTCTAGCCCCATCCTGCTTCTCCACCTGTGTTCCCTCTTTCTGTCAGTGGCCCTGCCTTCCCCTTCTCCCTCACCCCACATCCGAGCTGTTCCCAAGTCTGCAGAGTCCCTGTCTGCCACATTACTGGCAGCTCTCTCCTCTACTCCCCTCAGTGTCGACATCCTCTTTCTGTCAGTGGCCCCGCCTTCCCCTTCTCCCTCACCCCACATCTGAGCTGTTCCCAAGCCCGCAGAGTCCCTGTCTGCCACATTGTTGGCAGCTCTCTCCTCTACTCCCCTCAGTGTCAACATTGATGCCCACTCACCGAAACTAATGAAAAAGCCTCCAGCATGCCTTATCTGTGCCACTGGTGTCCTTGGGGACCGTTCATAGGCGTCCATTGCCCATTGGATTAATTCCACGCCGGGTGGAAACTAAGCTCCCTGAGGGCAGCAGTTTCCATGCTGATTCATCTGGGTGCCTAGCCCGAACCTGCCACCATTCCAAGCACACAGTCAGTGCTCAGTAAATCTTTGTTGAATGTGTATGGATGAATGGTTGAAGGAAGAAAAACCTGAAAAAATTGGTCCTCACAATTGCCTCACAATCTGTCCATGTTTGCAGATCCTTGATGAATGGTTTGGCCGGACCATCATCTGCTCCTGTACCAAACTTAGCTACGAGCATGCACAGAGCATGATTGAAAGCCCAACTGAGAAAATCCCTGCGAAAGAGCTGCCCCCCATTTCCCCAGAGCATAGCAGCGAGGAGGTACACCAGGCCGTCTTGAATCTCCACCAAATTGCCAAGCAATTACGCCAGCAGCGCTTTGCGGACGGCGCACTTCGTTTGGATCAGGTCAGTACATGTTTTTTTAGTGCAGCCAACAGATTTGACTCGTGCCTGAACCCAGCATGGATGAGGGCAGCTTGGCAGGCTAGACTCTTCCTTCCTTCTCCTTGCCCAGTCACCACACTAAAATCTTGTTCTCTGAGGCCGGCAGGAACTAACTTCCATTCACTCTCCAAATACAGGATATTATGCAGAATATTCTGTATTTTGTATGATTCCACAGGTACACAAGGCCTAATGACATGAGCCAAGGCAAAGAGTGGGTCTGTGTGGGTGGCTCTGACCAAAACCCCCAGCTGGTCTTCCCTGGTAAGGCTGTGTCCAGTCTGTGATCCTCACCTCAGGTCTCTACTCAAATCTGTTCTTTAATGGAGGCAAGAATAGGAGGCATGGAAATTTAGGAGGCAGCTGACCAGTATCTGATACGAAGGCTTGGAAAAAAAGTATTTCTTCTTATACCTCATCTCCCAAAAGAGTTATTTGTTAACAAATTCCAGATTAATATCTGAAGAAGCAGAGAACTGAGGAGACTGTAGAACAGCGGTCCTGTTGTTTTGGGCACCAGGGACCAGTTTCGTGGAAGACAGTTTTTCCATAGACCGGGGTGGGGGATGGTTTCAGGATGAAACTTCCACTTCAGATCATCAGGCATTAGATTCTCATAAGGAGTGTGCAGCCTAGATCCCTTGCATGCACAGTTCACAATTGAGTTTGAGCTCCTATGAGAATCTAATGCCGCCACTGATCTGACAGGAGGCGGAGCTCAGGTGGTCATACTCACCCACCGCTCACCTCTTGCTGTGCGGCCCGGTTCCTAACAGGTCATGGACCAGTATGGCCTGTGGCCTGGCAGTTGGGGACCCCTGCTGTAGAACATTGGCTATTGAAGAAAACATTGGCCTGGATTGTTATTGATAACTGAAATCTCACAGCCATGCTGGCAGCCCTCTGGGACTTAGGCAGCTGTCACTTAAACCTGCTTGAATTTCCATGTCTGAGAGTCAGTAACTATTAGGATCCAGGATTTCTTTCTTCATTGTTTGTCAGTATATTACAGAGCAGAGACTGTGTTTTGTATTATGGACTTTTTTCTCCTTCATTTATATTTCTTACCCAAGCTCTCCTTCCTTGCTTGTTGTGTGTGCTCTGGAAAGTTTCCATGTGTCTGAAATGAGGTGGGTAGGAATGTGGAACTGTTCACCAGACTGCCTAATGCAGACTTCTTTCCCTAAGCCTGTCAGCTGGGAGAAATCTGAAAGGCCTTGTAAAGCCCTCTGATTGAAGTTCTGATTTTATCCTACCTTTTGCAATAGCCTTGCACAAATGCTTCTTAGCAGGCATTGCAAAGAGATTCTGCCCTGGGCCTAGGAAGAAGTGGCTGCCCTCCGGACCAGTGGATGACCTGTCCTGCCTGTGCGTGGCAGAGTCAGGGTAGCCTCTGGAGTTCTCCTGCTCCTCCTTCCCCGACCTGGGCTCAGGCAGCCTGAGCAGCCCTGTCTATGTGAGAATACTGACAGGGAGACAGGAGGCAGAGCGGACGCTGAAGAAGACAGCAGACGTGGTGGAAGAGAAACTAAAGGCATAGGGGATTACAGAATACCTACTTTCCTTCCTTTAAGAAATCGTTCATGGGAGTGTAAACACACTCCAGTTCTCATTTACAGGTGGCTGGCTGATTGTCAAGTCCAAGGACACTTTACAGTTCTTGCTTCTTAGACTTCTGACCTACACCAGGCCCTTTGAAACCCACCTCCTGGTTCTCTGTTTCTCTTTGTACATCTCCAGTAATGTCCTGCTGGCCCCCTTTGCAAGATGCCTCTTGTGCTCACCACTTTAGGGTTGGCATTCATTCCCTGGGATCTACCCCCACTTTATTCTTTCTCCATCCATACTCCCACCCTGAGTGACCTCTTGTGAATCTAACTACTAACTGGATGCTAACGAGCCAAAATCTGTCTCTCTATCCATGACCTCCCTCCCCCAGCTCTAGTCCATCCCCACAATATCTCAGCCAGTGGTCATCCTTCCCTCTGTAAAACACAGTGATCAGTGATGCAGCAGGTGGCACCGGCTGTCTAGTACTGCCTTCTCCCTTGGCCCCTACCAGGGGAGTGGTATATGTATTCTCAAACCTGGCTAGGCCAGCTGTAGTGTTGTAATTATGCAGTTTAACTAAATATCAGGGAAACTGATCAAATACTAACATAAAAAAGAAGCTGTTGTTTTTATAAAAAACTAAGTTAAATGTTTTGGAAAGACCTGGATAAGGATAAGTCTTTAAAAATTCAGTTGTAAAACAGGGGATAATTATAAAATCCAGCAAGCATTCTGTATTCAGATTGCTTCATAAATGTCTAAATTCTCATTATTTTTAAAGAAACCAAATGATAGGCCGGGCGCGGTGGCTCAAGCCTGTAATCCCAGCACTTTGGGAGGCCGAGACAGGCGGATCACGAGGTCAGGAGATCAAGACCATCCTGGCTAACACAGTGAAACCCCGTCTCTACTAAAATATACAAAAAACTATCCGGCCCAGCTACTCGGGAAGCTGAGGCAGGAGAATGGCGTAAACCCGGGAGGCGGAGCTTGCAGTGAGCTGAGATCCGGCCACTGCACTCCAGCCTGGGTGAGAGAGCGAGACTCCGTCTCAAAAAAAAAAAAAAAAGAAACCAAATGATAAAGTATGAACAGTGAATTGCAAGTGTAGTTTATTCAGAAAAGACTAGTAGAAATCTGGTTAGCATTCCCTTTTTGAAAGCCTTACATTTTAAAAAAAATTAATGAATGCATATACATCTATATAAATTAAAACATCTGGTGATGGGTTTGTCGCCTCTGTTTGATTCCCTTCTTTTTCTAACTTCTAGAATAACCAGCCAATGGCTACTGAAGCACATCACAGGAAAGTTTCTGTCATAACGTTTTAGAGACCTCACCCCACCAGTTTGTTGCAAAGTTCAGTTGAATTAAATGTATGAAATACTCTAAAAACTATAGAAGACCGTCAGGTGATCCCAGCTCATATGAGGATGGGGTATAATTGTCAAAATAGAAGAATGATCTCAGATTATTGTTAAAGATCTGTTGGCATGTCTCAGAATCAGAGTTTTATTGCTGAAAATGGCTTTGGATATCTGTCTCATTGGCCCTCTCAATTTATCAGTTAGAGAGCTGAAGCTCCTAAAGGTTAAGTGAGTTGCTTATATGCAAGAAATCCAAATCACCCTGTGTTCCCTTTGCCTTCATTTACACCACGCTGACTTGAGAGAGAAAAACATTTTCCTTTTAAGTGGAAAGAAAAGCCTCCAAAGTCCTAATTAGGTTCCAGTTAATTAAGGTTTGAAAATAAGGGCTTTGCACCCTTGGAGTTGATTCCTTGGTTCCCCCGAAAACAAGGTGATGGACCCCAGCTTTGGAAGGAGGAGCACATCAATCTCCCACAGCAAAGGACTCTGGTGAGGTCATTTATAAATCAGCTAAATGGCCCTATTCAGAAGTCACTGCATTTGTTCTCCTGCCCCTACTGCCTGCCTTGCCCTCACAAAAATCCATTTTTCCTTGGTGCTTTTTTGAGTAGCCTACTGTTCAGAATTGTTCTCTGATGCTTTGTTTGCCTCAGACCACTATGTCCGTGCTTTTGGTGGCAGTCCTTTAAAAAAAAAAAAATCCATTTAAACTAGCCTCAAGTAGAGATGAGTCTGTGCGAGGGGGTACGATTTATTTACACATCATGCCCTTAGGTTCAGAATAAGTGTGTAAACCACAAGTTTCACCTTTCCAAGAAGTCAGTTTACCATGATGACCTTCAGAATGAATGGGAGCTGAGTATACGGCACTAGTATGGTGATTGATTGTTGAGTTAGGGACCTACTAGTTCCGAAGTCATAGCCTCAGAACCGTCGAGCATCTTGACCACTGTGTATTTGCAGTTGGCGGCTTAGACCGGAGCTGCTTAGCCCATGTCTGAGATAGTGAGCCTCAGCCCTCAGGGCCACCTAGTCTGGCTCCAGTTCCATGAGGGCCACCTACTAGCAGTCTTGTCTACCCTAGTGTGCTGTCATATATTAGCGTATGTATATACTAGTTCATATCCTAGAGCTGTGATGGGAAACAGATAGGGAAGCACTGCCTTCTGGGTAGGATTACCTGCTCCAAATGTCTCCCTTACCTACAGTTCAACCTAGTTCTAAAGAGGTTCTAGGTACATGAAATGACTCATTTGTTTCACTGCTTGGAAAGCAAATGCAGATGCCACATGCATTCTTGTGCTTTTTGGTTGGATGGGTTGAGTAATACCCCTTCCAGGTGGTTTTTTCTGTCTCTGTGTTTTCTGCTGCTAAATTAATTCTTGGACTTAACATAGATGTTTGTTTTATTTTGTTTATTTATAACATATGTCTCTCGTTTCTGAAAAGGGAGCTCCCATAACAGGGGCCCAGACTTTTTTATGTTGGTAGTAAAAGGAATCATAATGGTTTATAATCATATCCAAATCTTGAGCTTTGGGAGAGGCGGAGCTGTTGGAAGTTTGCTGTCTGCCTGGATCTTGCTCAGTGATTCAGGCCAAACTAACAGACTTTGCAGGTGGGGGTCACAGAGTCCCCTGGCACTTCTGTTTATTGGGACACAAAGCCTGTTCTCAGGCACCTTCCCACTTAGGCCTGACTATAATGTGAAGACAAGGCCTCAGGCTTCTCAGCCATGGCATTCAGAAAAGATACCAAGGGAGGGTGGCAGGGGCCAGAAGAATCCCATTATGAAAGTGTCTTGGGAATATTGATTGATTTTAGGAAGCTACACCTACTGCCTGCTGGGGCTCTCTCTCTAGCCTCTTCCTCATCAGTCAGGTGGCAGGACCCAGAAGCCACTCTGTTTGAGGGCTTCCATGTAAAATAAGCATGAGGTTTGCAGGAAGCTGTGCTCCATCATGGGTCCCCTGACAGGTGATTAGGGGATGTGAGCAGTTCCTTCTGGGTCACTGACTTTGGGAATTCAGAGGAAGTTGA